TTGAAAGTGTTTTTTAGTTTCCCGCGCTTAACTGTAACATATGTATCGACAGACTTGAATTCGTTCCCTTTAAAAGAGAAGATGACTTATATATAATCTTTAATTCTTTGTTTAAAAGTTTGTACAGATGAAAATTGTACGACAATAACATGATTTGGGATTGGGATGTGTTTTCTGTTACACACACATGGTTGTATTTTTACTACGCCACGGCGGCCACCATATAGGTCTAATGTTCACACACACCGAAAAGCTAAAAAATTAAGATCGCTGTATACTCACCACTTCAGTGGAACTGTTAATCCAAATTTTCTGTAGGGAAAAAATAGTTTTTTAGTGATTTTTAAAACTTTTATATATGATGTACGACATTTTTCAAATGACGGCCGCCGAGATTTGGCACGAAACACTGATAACGTGATGCATCAGGCAGTGACTTATTTGTGGTCCCAGCAACCAAATAACACCATACAAATGCAATCATGATGTATATATCATGTATAGTAAAAATTGCCGTTGAAACTTCAAGTAACTTTGAAATACGTAGTTAGATTGTTTAGCATTTCACTATTGATACGCAAGGTACGTACCTTCATATTCGTCCGCTTGCAATCCAGCAAACTCAGAATATTATTTCTGTTTTCTTCGCTGCTAGGAGATGAAAGTCTTCCAATAGCTTTTTAGTAATTTTTCTTCGAGTACGTAAATGTGCATCAAATGCGTGGAGGTACAAAATCGAGTATACGTAAACGCACCTTCACGCATTGCGAGTGAACAAGCTTCTGAATGAAAGTCGTACGACGTTTCACCTTTGTTGCCATTTTACGCATGAATGCGCTTTTAGTCATCATGACAGTGAGCGCGGCCGGGGATTCCCCCTCACGATGCATAGTAGTATATTAGCCAATCTGCACACAGCCTTTTCTAGTTGCTTAGCTGGGACTCACAGACTAACGATTGCCGAGTCAGATCTAATTATTTTCGCTTTTAATACAGTTAATAATAATAATATTTATTATTTGCAAGATGCAAATTTACTTCGAATTTGCCGTTTCCTAATAAATTAAGGAAACCGTTCAACAACGGACGAAATAACCGGATCCAAAGGTGCAATCAAGCACTTATACTGAGGATTCAAAGTCCAACCATGTGATCAAACTTTTTACGTATGTAAAGGACTGAACTTGAAATGATTAACGTTTGAAATTTATAGAAAATCACACTAGAGGGYGTTTTCATAAATGATTTATGAAAATATACACTACTTTATTTATATATTATCAAATTAAAAAAATCCGACTCTTAATCCGCTGCTAAAAGTTTTATACGACACTTGCCACAATTCAAAGTCAGCAAGACAAGTCTGGTGAAATTCTGATATGGTCCTAGCTATATATATCTTCAAGCTTCACGAATGGCATTCCATATATCGGATTGGCTAAAGGAACAGCATTACGCAAGGTGCTGGATGATGCATAAAAGCCTAGAGATATTTCTTCAGACAACTGTAAACTATCGGAATGTAATAAGTTCTATTTCTACTACTAAGCACTATTTCTTAAGTAATTTTTCAAAGGCATATACCATAATATCTGAGTGAATTTTGCGCCTCGGGACACAAACGTTTTGGAGGGATATTTTTCATTTTCTTTGGAAACTGAGATGTTGTTTATAAAATGTACTCTTTATTAATTATCACGAATTTGGACTTCACGATCACTATTTATAAAAGGGTAACATGAAAATAAAAGGAATTATTATATTTTCAGTGCGAGCGGTGGTAGGTTAATTTTCATTTCTGGGGTTTCTAAAACTTCTTTACTGCTTTGTGGACGTTTAAAAAACTTTTAATCCAAAACTTTATTCAGAAAACCAGCTCCGCCCCCTCACTTCCCCCGGCGTCGCATGTTTTCTATAGGTTAGCCTGCGTCACATCCGGACAAATACATTTCTAGACGTGAAGGTGAAAGGCACGAGGGATTTCTTGCATGCCTGTTTTTCCTTCCTTCCTTTTTCACTTGACCTCAGCCGGAAGTATTTCCCCCAGTCTAACTTTTTTATCGGTGGCGATCAGTTCAATTCAGAGGGTCATCACGAAGGAGAGATGGAATTTTTCTTTTTTTGCTGGGAAAATGGGATTTCATGTACTGGGACTGGGATTTAGCCATTGAAGGGAATGGGATTTTTTTAAGGCCCGGTTCAGACGTCGAACTTTTCATGAACCGAAGGCATTGAAAACAATGGTTAATAATTAGGCGGTCTTAGGTTCGGTTTATAAGAAGTTTGACGTCTGAACCGGAAATCTATGATTTCAGGGATGGATCCGGGGGACCCCTAGTCTCCCTCACAGCCACATGACAGCATATGTAGTGGCTGTGAGGTAGACTAGGGGAAGGACTCCCTACCTCAGAGCAACTTTGTCCCACAATTTTGGAAATATCCAACACAAAATGATTTCCGTGTTTGATTTTGTGGGTTGACCCTCTTTCCCACGGCTGAATTAGTGCCCCGCACCCCCCAGAACAAAAGCTACATGAGAAAAACATTGACCCCTCAAAGAATGAAGATTTATGTGTAGGATATCTTCAAAGCTGCTGTAGTGTCACTGACCATGAAAATTGAACAAGGGAGGGGTGGGGATAACATTTGCGGTTATCTTCAAAGTTGGAGCACAAAGTTGATCAGGGTGGAGGGGGGTGTACTCCATGCACCACTCCCCTGGATCCACCCCTGATCTGTCAACAAAGGAGATCACCTCATACTTCCCTCATGATGATAATGAATAGTGAGATATATGTATATGTGCACCTTTACCAATACCATCACCATTTAGGTATATACACGTGCACATTTTGTATCCATAGTGACTGCTTTAGAAGTCTGGCAAGTAGAATTAAGGGTTACTTTTGCTGATGGTTTTACGTCATCAAAAACCATTTTTGACAATCTAGATAAATTCCCATCCATTTCTTCCCATTCAATGAAGACATCTTCAATCTATATATATTTTATTTCTCTCTAAAATTGACACATTTTACACAATTAAAGTCCTGTCACATTTCTCCCACCTAAGAATGTCTTTAATCTGCATTTTATATTTCATTTCTCACTAAATTAAAACTGGCACATTCTGCATGTCCATTAAATCTGAGATTCCTTTTTTTACTACTTATAAATGCATTTTTATGTCACTCTGATCTGCAAGGTTGTAATTAATTCTCTTGTGAAGTGAATTTAAAAAATGTTTTACGTATTTAATTTATATGTGACAGGATTGCTATTTTATTAGATATCCTTATTAATGCAAGCCCTTATATTTACAGCATGTTAGCACTCAAATTAATATAATACTAAATACAACATGTCGAGTCATGATGCAATATTAATAACCTGAGAGCCCAAAATAACTGCTGGTCATGATCAACAGAATAAACCAAATCATGCGTACGCATGTTTCTAAGTACATTGCCACTCAATTCAAAACAACTGGAAATAATAAATTGCTTTTGTTTCAAAATTTTCCACATGATTTCAAATTTGAATTGGCCATGAGTAGAAATGTATATAGCAACATGTTAGCTAATTTGTTTTTCAGACCAAACCCATTGACTGGCCACATATTGATCAGGCCATTATACACAACAGTTGTTTATTGGGTTCCTTTTTTAGCTACTATGATATTTTCAAAGATTCAAAACAGCTTAATTAGTATTAAATTATTATATTGAATGAAAACTCAATCTAATGCTAGGCATAAAAAAATCCTTTTGGATGAGTCTTTGTTTTGAAAGAGAGACATTTAAAAAGCATGCAGCCAATATAAAATGGCCTTGCAGCCCATCATTCACTGAAGTTTTCCATGCATGGAAATAATAGAAGCTAGATTTTAGAAATTATGATTATATTTATTATGATTATGAAATTATGTTTAAAAAGTAATTATGATATCATGATGAAATTGGATTCACTTTAATTTGTGTTTTTAAACTTATCATTTTGCCTAGCAAATTGAATGTCCTTATAAAGCTGCTTAGCTAACTACTATTAAATATAATCATCTGATTCTACACATTAATGTCTGCATTTATATATATATATGAATCATAATTACCATAAAAATGAAAACTGACACCTGGTCCTGATTTCATTTTTTTTCAGACTATAAAGCCTTTACGCCTTTATAACAATGTTCTATAGATTAATTAGTTTAACAGCTAACTCATGAAGTGGTTGAAATGTGTACAGGCTTACCAATAAGTATTTGTGGTTTCAGATGTATGGGTTCCCTATGGTCTCCTATATATGGTGTATGTAAGCCGTTAATAAAACTTTGAATTATGGAGTGATTTCAGCTTCTCAAAAATACATCTTCTAAAAACTTCCTAAGAATTAAATAATAATAATAATAATATAATATGATTTATATAGYGCCTATACAAGTCGGCTCTAAGCGCTGTAAAATATATATAAATTATRATTCAAAAGCTAGTTTAAACAAATGAGTCTTAAGGTCTTTCTTAAAAGTTTTTAGACATGAAGTG